TCTCTCTCTCTCTCTCTCTCTCTCTCTCTCCGTATTCTAGCGCAAGTGGCCGCACTCGGAAACCAGTTTGCCCGCCTTGCTATGGAATGTAAGGACGGCTGTAATTATTTGCAGCGCGTAGAGCCGCTGGCCGCCGCGATCGGATCTAGGCTCTGTAGAATCGCCGCTATGATCCGCCGCGATCTCCTTGCGGTATATATCTCGATTTCTATCCGACGGCCGCGCCGTCATCTCCCGCGATAGGCCCCCCATTGTATCCCGACCAACGCCCGCTCGCCCCCTTTTCCCCGTTATTATCAGATCCGCGTCGTGGAACAGAAATCCACCATAATTCGCGCATAGTTCGCAAGCGCCTCGCGCCCCAACGCTTCACGACTAAGTTAAAATTATTTTCCAGCCCGGAATTTGTCTCTCGGAGAGCCGCTTCCGGGGATGCTTGCTGTCCTTCAATTACTCGTGCGTCAGTATATCCGGTGCGTCAAAAATGAAAAAGCGCGCATACGCGATATTCGTCAAGTTATTGTGCCGATGATGTTTTTCCATTTCTCTATACGTTCACGTGATACATTCGTTTCTATGCCGAGTTAAAAATATGGATACAATATTCATCGTATTCATTACCATGGCAATAAAATCTTACTACGTTGCGTAATAAGATGTCTTTAGAAACAATTGTTCAATCATCAGAGAGAAGATAAGAATATTATTAAAAGAATATTATTTCCAAACGAATTTCCTAAATCACGTTAAAATTGTGATCAGCGTTCCCTTTTTTTCGCAAAGAATCGAAAAATCGGTTTTTGAAAAATTTAAAAAGATTTTTTGCATATTTTCTCGATATCTAGTAGCGTTTTGCGAAACGATAATTGTGCAAATATCGTAGTGTGGATTTGACTTAAAGCGGGAGAAGGAGAACTCGCGATAATACACTTGAGCGTCCTCGAGATTCGCGAGAGCACCTTTCACCGGGCATTCGAGAAAGGGTGGGTGCCACGCGTCGGCGTCAAGTTCGTTATTTGAGTCGTGTTTCTTGCGAAACACTATTTAGAGCTCCGTAAAGTGCTCGCCGGCCTTGACGAACGGCCGATTTCAGATGGCGTAATCGCCAATATCGGTCTCGTCGGCTCAAGAAGATGCCACCTGTCCTTTGACGAAGAGATTATTGAACTTGAATCAAACTTGATCCTCCTCTTCTAAACTTCTTCATTTCGCCCATTTGAAATTTATAATCGCATCTCATGCTCCGCACATCGGGCTTTGAGTTTTATTACTCATACTTACATATAAGTTATACAAGGATAATGGAAAAAAAGAAATCATAATTGTACTTTTGTTTATGGTTATGCTTAAGCTGTCGCTTAATGCGAATACCAAGGAGGATACCTCTCAACGTAACGAAATATCACGCGATAATGTTTCCCGTTTAAACAAGCTTAATAGTTGACAGTGGTTTACGTTCGCGACAGTTATACAGTATTATACAGGATGTCGTGGGTGGGAAGACGGTTAACGCCGCGAGTACACGAGAACGTAGTGGTAGGCAAAGCGTGAGTCGTCGTGCAACAACCTCGGCTCACCTCTCCTATCACAGTCCCGTCCCGTTGAAGGAGGCAAACCGAGAACCGCCCGGTTCTACCTTTTTCGAACGGTTAATCGAAACGGCGACTAAGCAAGTGTCTCGACGCGTCTCGGCCATGTAAACCGAGCGTTCCAGAACCGTGCTCGACGATAACGGCTCGAGATAGCCGAATTCATTTGATTTTCGATTCCCTCGCCGGCTATACCTCTGCCGCTACACCTCGCACCAGGCCACCGATCGGCAAGAGATCTGGTCCCGATTTTCTCAAGGTGCGCCGCGCTGCTGCGCTGCGCCGACTAAGTCGTTTTTACGAGCGCGCCCCGCTCTCACTGAAGCCGGCTAAAGCAAAAGGGCGAAAAAGGAAAAGGCAAGGAAAGGGGGCAGGTTTTAAAAAAAACTTTACCTACCTATCTACCTACCTACCTACCTACCTACCTGATGAGGACGCGAGCGCGCGTGTTAAAATCCTCGTCTGTTCTTAACACGCTCGAATAAAC